GCCATCTTCGACAACCGCCTGCTTTAAAACCAATATACGATAATTTTGACCTCATCTCATATATACATATAACATACACCGAAATCATACGTATTTATATTTTAACTCAATATGGCGAAATCATAAAAGTTCATGATCTCTACAGGAGGTCGAATATATTATACTTTCTAATGAGAAATTCAGAAAATAGTATTTTATGATTCAAAATTAGAAGACATATAAATATCATCAAATTCGTCCTTTCTATCTTATAGCCAATATAAAACTAAATGTAATCACTTATTTTTCACACATTATTCCAAATATTTTTAGAGTACGAACTCCCGTCCGGAAGCCTTATGATTTTGGGGTTGTTGGGCAGCGGCAATCATCCGAAAATTGAATGCTTGCAAGCATCCGAAGGGACTGGCTCAAATCAAAGTCTATTTCGCTAAATTAAGCGCGGATGTTCATATTGCTTGTACACCGACTCACTCAAATACAGTGCGTTATCTGGGATCTCCTACCTGCTACTTGTCTTCAACCCGTCTGTTGCAAAGAGATTCCAAATTGACGTGTCCTCTTCCCTTGATACCTTCGGCAGAACCATTTTTCCACCACTCTTCTTGATCTGAATTTCCAGCTTTTCAGGTAGCTCGAGTATTCGGACATTCTTTGCTGCAAGTCTCAAGCATACTCAATGTGATCCGGGATAGGGGGTCTTTGACTATGCTATGCACTTCGATTCGACCAACAGAATTATGACTGTGGCTCACGGAAGCAGTGGTGTCCTGCTCTTTTGTCGGCTGCAGTGCAGAAACCAGTGCGCAGATAAGCTCTCAGAAAGGGTAGTATACCTTCGTTCTGCTGTCAGCAGGATTCTGGCAGACACAGTTGCAGGAAACTTTGCTTGCAAATATGTTCATGCTTCAGTTTCAAGCTCAATCAACGGAGCCAAGCTGAGTTCTGCACACTTGGATCGCTTCCGCAGCAGGAGATCCTTCTTTGACGTTGATCATGTGCACAGATGCAGCCCTGGCACTTGAGAAGGCTCGCAAAGCTGGTGTTCATTCGCTCTCCCAGAGTCAATGGGGACTATTGACGAACTGCAAGCTGTAGAAGTACCCCAGTGAACTATTGCCGAACGGCACTCCGTCATACGCAGTCTACACTGGAAGATCTATTGCATCGGCCCTGGTGACACGCGCCTGCTGGCAGGCGAGTGGGAAGCTCGGCTGGGATGAGCTGGTCGAGATCTTGGTGGGATCGACTTTGAAAGCTCGGAGCTTAAGCTGGCTGTGCCTTTGAAGCACGGGCGACGTCTGGGACTCTTACATCACAACTATCTGTTACAGGGGCCCTGTTCGCTCGCACCCTGGTGGTACATTAAGATCAGCACCGATACATCATCAAGTGCAACTCCTTCACCAGCGCGCGTGAAATCTCCCAGGATCGCCAGGCGAGTAAGGCCCTGCAGCACCTGAGAGTTTGCATCATAGCTGCTGCTAGTCACATTCCCTGCGGTTAGCACATATGCAAATTGCAGATGGTCAGTGCCACTGGTGCATCGCAGTTTTCTGCTCGTCAATGCGGTTCAGACTTGAGGCTCAGATGCTGACACCCTTCATCATCACGGGATGCTGCCTCCCTAGTTGTGCCGTGGATTTCCCTTAGGGTGTCCACGACAAGCAGAATCTCGTTAGAGGACTCCTGCATCGACATTCATCGAAGTCGCATCTCGGAGGATCGCGCAACAACAGCGAGATCTGGGTGCTCAGAATGAGCATTGTCAAGTCATGGCGCTCCGCACCTAGACTCAACTGACAGACTCTCAGTCTGTGTCTGTTCTTCGTGTAATGAACCAAAGTTTCAGATTGACTCGTATTGCTAATTTGTAAAGATCAGGTCAGACCATCACTAAACTTCCCCTCTGACTCGATTTCCGTTATCACCAACGGTATGGTCGGGCTTCGGGGTCTTTACAACACAGATCTGTGTCCCCCCCAGCGTTGCCCTCACCCTTCACTTTTGCGCCCCTTGAGCGGCTTCCTCAGGCTGCATCACTCTTTGACAGATACCAGCTAAGCATGGATGTCACTGCTTCTCTGTTCCGAGCAGCATTCCAGAAACAACCAGCGAGCGGGACATTTCCGACAGCGTCTGGAATCCCGTGTCGCAGAGCCTGGGCAAGCTCCCAGGTTTTGTGACAACAAAGCCGAAGTCCCCGCCTCAGCACATGCTCCAGCTTCCGTGCCGTCCTTTGCTGCTCGTGCCTTTCCGAGAAGTTGACTTACGCACAGGACTTTACGCACACAGGGTGCAGCGTGCCTCAGGCGCGCGATGTCAATGCTGTGCGCAACGCCATGCATTTCCAGCAGACAGTCGGCAAACTCGCTGATTTCCTTAGCTTGCAGAATCAGCCCTGCGCAGAACCATGACTCGGCTGCGATGCCGCACTTAGCTACCAATGCAGGTGTAATTCAATGTAGCCTTTGTTGTCGAAGTCGATGAGCTGCCAGATCTGCTCCAAGCTTACTTTGTGGAGGTCAATCCTTTGCATGTCAGGAGCATGGTGGCGTCGCTTCTGATGAATGCCCTCTCATGAGCCCAGGGACCCAAGGTTCTTGAAGCAGAGCTGGACCCGAAGGTCTGCCAAAGCATTCTCAAACTCTTCCCACTCAACATTGCCGCTGTGGTCCGTGTCTGCCTTTGCAAACCTCGTCTCGAAGGAAGGCTGATCCCGCAAGTCAGCTCGCAGCTTCCCGACGCACTGCCATGTGTCCAAAACACTAGCAATTACCACTGCATCGTTTCTCCGCTGTGGCATAGAGACAGCCCCCTCTGGAAAATTGCACATGCGTGACGCTTGCGTGGCGCAGTCCGGAGTGAGCGTTGCTGCTGCTGCTGCTGCCGTCGTCGTCGCGAGTCTGCTGACAGTGGGTCTGTGCTCACATCCGTGCAGCTTGCTGGCTAAGACTCTGGCAAGGTCTCGATCTCCTTTATCCATCCTCGAACAAAGCTGTTGAATTCCATGTCGGGTCTGGCTCAGTGAACTGAACTGAACTAAGAAGCTTTTCCGGTTCTGTATCTCTTCCAGCATCATGTTCTCTTCGTCTTGCAAAGCCATCGCAGCAGAACGGTCCACAAAGACACCAGTGACCTGTGCAAAAACTACGAAGGTCAACCAGGCGTCATGTCCACGCATATTGCGGCTGCTTCTCGTTGCATCACACTCTGGGGGCTGCACGATGTTCAGCACACAGAACCTGGAGGAAGGCGCAAGAAGCACATCTCAGCTAATCGGAATGATCTGTGCTGGGTCGATCGGCAAAATGGGATGGAGGTTCTACTTGCCTCCTTCGTGACACAATCAGTGTGGCGGTGGGTCTTGAGGGGGGCATGTCGTCATGTAGTCACCATCTGAATCTGAGGAACACGACTCGCTTAGACTGCACAGCGCTGAAATCGACAGCACGTGTTGCCTCGGTGCGACGAGGTTTGGTCGTGATTCTTCCGCTGCCGTAGCCCTGACAGCTGCGTAGATGTCGCTTTCGCGACACCGGATCTTTCTGCCGTGGACCGCAAGGATGCGGGCAGTCTCGCTTGAAGATTCAGGTGGAGGACAATGGGCTGGTAGAGTGGGCTTTCCCCTCAAAGCGCTCAGTCTTGCCAGCGTAAATTGTGTGGTCATCTGTGGACAACACTCGTGAGCTAAGTTTCGCATGCTCAGAAAGACCGGGTATGTCTCCAGCTTCGTCCCTCTCTTGTGAACAAATGCAATTGAAGCAGCTATCGACTTTGCAAGACTGTGTCTGAGGCTTGGAGTTTTCCTGAGGGCTTACATCGCTCAAGTGGATTCTGCAAACAACTTCGCGAGACTCGAACTGCCTGGCTCATGTTGATCTAGTAGCGGCGGAGATGTTAGTCACTGAAACAAAAATGTTAATCTGGAGAGGACCAGAAGCAGAATAAGTTTAAAAAACTGTCCAAAACAACCTCATTGTACTTTCACGACTCGCAGTTTCAGCAACCCTGAGCCAGCGACGTGGCAAGCGCGATGTACAACGTCAGGATGGGAGTCACCACGGGGTTTACCAGCATTAGTGGCGGTGCCAATTCTCCCCAACTGATGCCACCGGAGATCGTCCTCGGACCAATGGATAGACCAGATTGCCGAACAACAAAATCAACATACTGGTAAATGCAGCTCTGACGGAGGCAACGGCGACCACAAACACAACTGTGACTGTCAACATTTCCAACATCACGGCTGCGCGAACTGGGACAAGCTGGTCAACAAACGGCAGTCTGCGATAATCTACGGCTAACATTCGCTTGCCTGCTTTTGCGTCTTGATCGGTCGCAGCTCTTACTGTCACTGTCGTCGCTGGATTTCAGCACGTCGCTGACAGTCTTGCACTTGCCAGCAATGGCACTCAGTCAGGCACCTTCTGTCACCTTCCTACTCACTGGCAACGTTCTGCCAGAAACCAGCAATGCTATTGTACAAAAGCCTTGACGCGCTTTGTCGCCTGGATCTCTTTCTTTACAATCAACGACTCGTGTTGGAGTAGGCCTCACGGCGAGCCTGGAAAACAGAACGTCGCAGATGCTCAGGAAGATGATGAAGTCCGTTAATAACAGATGGTGTAGATTCTGACTCAAGAAGGCCCCGAGGAAGCCCCGAAGGTGGCAAATCTCCAGTGGCGTGAGACTGGCCTTGACCTAAACGCATGGCCTCAGGAGGCTGACAAGGAGTTGCACGCATTGCAGCGGCTTCTAGCTGCTCCTACCATCTTCTGGACTCTAGATCGCGCGGTCGTGCACCGGACAAACATTCTGAACAGGGAGACCAAGGCACCTCGGTTCTTCTGATGACATCTTCGAGTGTGTGTACTTCCAATTTCTTGTCCGAGGATTCTGCAAAATCCTCCTCATCTGCCAGCTCCGCCAACAAACTTGCCACCTTCCCCCTTCCGGCACGTGCCGCCGCTGTGGCAGGGGTAATTTGTGTCTTTCCGGCACGGCGCCGAACGTCTGCACTTGCATGGATTAATGTCCGGACCACCTCTTCGTGGCCTCTGACTGCTGCAATGAACAAGGCCGTCAGTTGGGTTTCTGAGGTTGGCCTGTCCATGTCCGCTTTTTTCTCGCAGAGCGCCTGGACGATCTCTGGCTGGTTTTGGAAAGCAGAAGCAAATAAAGTCGATCCACAGTCCCACACGGTAATGTGCTGCTTCCCTTTGCTCTCTTTCATTTTGCGTCTTACTGCGGCTTCTCCCAAAATGCATGACAGAATGGCGTGCTCGGTGCTCCCAATTTCTAAATCACCGGGAGCAGCATCCCAAATCTTCAAACGATAGAGCTTGTCTTTGTCCACACCAGCATCACACAATGCCTTCAGGCTTTCGATGCGATTGTTGCTGGCTGCCAGCAATAGAGGTGAGAAGCCGGACTTTGTCACGGCATCTTTCTCGGCTCCAGCTATACATAGGGCGCGAATCACTTCCGAGTGTCCTCGCCGAGCTGCTTCGCAAAGGGGGGTAAATCCGCTGTTGACATCCGCTTTCTCCAGGTTGGCACGCAACCGGATCAAAATGCTCGTGACTTCCTCCACTCCCGTCCTGGCAATGCAGGTTGTGTGTGGCTCCTACAGTCCTAGTAGGTGACAAACCAAACGAACATCGAAAAGAGCTCTTAAGAAGCACACACCAACTCCACAACCCGATCCTGGCGCTCAGGAAGAGAGGTGTGAAACCAACTGTCTGCGATCGGTTGATCTGGGCCCGAAGCTTGCAAAGTGACTCCACGGCAGCAACCTTGCCTTGCCCTACAGCTTCGAAGAGCGGTGTGCAGCCAAAGTCTTTCGTGGCTTTTTCCATGTCAGCACGCGCGCGGACCAACTCCTCAATGATCTCACAATGGTCGAATCGAGCTGCCAGCACCAACGCTGTAACATTGATTGAGGTGCACGGTCTGTCGACATCGGCCAGTTCCTGACAAAGGAATCGTGTCATGTTAACATGATTCGGATGGACAGCAAGATGTAGGCATGTGCTGTTTGAGAAGGCGACATCGTCTTCCCCTGCGAGGTCTGACACGAATTGGTTGATATCATCACGTGTAAGCCCGGCCCGAAGCAGCAATCTGGCGGCATGAACCAGCCCTGCCCTTGCTGCTTTCTGCAAGGGCGTGAGGTGACAGTCCAGCTCCTGACGTAAAGTGTCTCCTTGCATCCGCAGATTTGCTACGACCTGTCGGTAGTCAATATCAGTGCGGTCAAAGCATTTGGCAACAAGTTCCAGTTTGCCTTTGAGCAAGGCGTTGCTACATAGTTCTGCAAGCTGGGCAGCTTGCTTCTTGCGGCGCCGAATGGCCATGTTGTGGCGCACCCAGCGCTGAATTCTATGCACAGCTGCATCGGTCACAGCCTGGGACTCCTGTTTCGCAGCCTCCCTAAGCTGATCGAGACTTCTCAACAACCTTGCAGACGTCTCTTCCAGCTCTGTAAAGAGTGGCTGTGCTGACAGCAAACTTCTGCCCAAATCTCTGGGACTGTTGATGCAGGTTTCAAGCGCTTCTGCACATTTTGCAGCATAAAGCTTGACGGCAGATATACTGTCCGGGCACGAAATTGATTGTGCCTTAGTCGGTGTCGCATCGCCCTGGGAGGACAGTAGCAGCTCTGTAGTTTGGATGTAGGGAAGAAGTCTCAGGACCCACTTGTGCGTTAGTTCGGCTCGTGTGCAGGGCGAACACTTGTTTCCACTTGCCAGCCACTGCAGAATCGAATCCTTCTCGTAAATGTGCCCGTCGCTCATGAGCACTGGATCTTGCATGGGCTCCAAGGAGATCGGACAAGTATCGACAGCATGGTTGTGGGCATCCCGTCGTCGGACAAACTTTCCGCCCTCGAGCTTCCAGATCCGTGCCAAGGACGAGGCAATAAACTCTGGTTCGAAGCTGATTGAGAAATCCAACACCCGAGCCATTCCTACCCAGTGCTTGCCAAACAAAGAGCTCAACAGAGCAAGATGGCCGGCGAATTTTTGCGTTTGCAACATGCTCGCGTGACCTCTAGCCAGCCTGACTGTTCCAGTCTAGATGTTGGAACGGAAGCTTCTCTTGAAAAGGTTTGTTCCTTCCCACGTCGACATCACGACTAATTCTGCCAGGGAACAGGAACAAAGTGAAGCAAGTTGTCAGCCTCAATCGCTCTTGTAGTGCTGCTGCTGCAACAGAGACTTGTGCTGAAGCTGCACGTACTGGAAGCCCTATGAACTGAGGTCATCTCAAGGAAGAGAAGGGAGACAGCCCGACAAATTCCAACGGTCCACCTTGGATGGAGCGTCAGAGTCTTGCATGCAGACAACCGCTCTCAACATAGCTGCACGTCACGAGCAACAACCTTTGCACAGCTTGGAATACGAAGCAGGGGTTCTGAAGGCTGCTTGCAATATGAGGAAGCATGTGAGCAGGCTTCCTGACCGATGAGCAGAGAAGCTCGGAAAGTCCTGCGGATTGTCCGCGAGATATTCGCCCACAAATTGCAAGATGCATACCTGATCATGGAAGAAGCGTCTCTGGTGTGCCGGTAGGTGCAACCTCCGGTTTGCAGAGGCAGCCAGCATTTCGAACTGAAGCACGGCCGTAATGTAAATGATGAAGAAGAGGAGTATCAAGGCCCACATCAAAGCCTAAGTCTCGGAGAGCCAATGAAGCTGTGCAGTTTTCTCGGTGAAGCTGCGCTGAAACAAGCGTGCCTTCAGTGAGCTCAGCACGCCCATAATCATGACCCGCAGGTCGGAGAAGAAGCGCAGCACACGGAGCACACGGGCAACTCGGACGAGTCGCAGCAGTCCTGCAACACGGACTCCGATCACTTCTCACCGTTGCTAAATTAGAGCACCTGGAATTCCGTAGCTGGCTAACACATAACGCAAGAGCATGCGAATGGCCACAGACCTGACAGCTGTTATGCTTTTATGGGAATTCTGTGATGGTTGCAGCGTGCGAATCCCTGACTTTCTGCGCAGCTGAGGCCCAGTCGAAGAATGCGAGCCGAAGACATATTGGGAGGTGGATCTGGCGCGTCTCTCATTGCTGCGAAGAGGCGGGTCATGACCTCATCCTGGGCTTCTAGGCGAGGGCATCCCGTGTTTTTTACCCTGCAGCAGCTTGACAATGCCTCTTCACATTGACAGACGAGTCGCCAGAATTCCCAGCATCACTAGCACGGCATCCATCACGTTCCACTTGATGTCAGGGTTGTGACATGAAAACATGCCCCTACCTGACGACAGTTCACAGGCAAATCATGCTGCAGGGATGTGTGGCTGCGCCGGGCTACCGAAGATACAAAACCTAGCAACCGAGGGGAAGGCTGGACGAAAGCTCGTCGGGGCGGGCGGGTGCGGAAGCATTGCCCGGCAACGGTCGCAGCAGCAGGATGGCAAAACAGCAAAAACACCGGGAGCGGCAGTGGAAGGGTTGGTCGGACAAGGAGGTCTCGGGGGGTGAGAGGCCCGCGCCTCATCCGAAGACAAAGCTCATTATCCGCTGAGGTGCGCAATAAGGTACTTGGCGAATCGTGGGCTTGACGTTCGGGCTTTCAGGTTCAAGACTATGATAGCGTGAAAAATGCCCTTCAAGCTCCTGCTTGGCTGGCCCGAGGTCCAACAGTACCACTGATCACGGTAGTCATCAGGGGAGGGGACCACCATCTGTCAATTTTCAAGACGCCACTGCCGTGTCCGAAGCCCTGAACAGTACCGGTTACGAATCGTCGGCACTTGACTAAACATAGATCCGTGAAAACATTCGTTGGCATCGGTTCGAACATCCTGCTTGTTGCAGTTGGATCCAGTTTGCCTTTACTGGCCACAAAGCAATCTTACACGGGCACTGCACTCTTCTCAAGGCCGTGCCTTCAGTCCGAAGTCGAAGAAGTAGTTCCAGCGTGAATAGCACTGTGAATGTCAGACCTGCCTCAGGTTACGGATAGATCAAGGCCCGCAAGATCTCGCAGCTGACTGAGATAAGGCGTGTCGGCATCGGCATGATTTTGTAATGTGCACATGTTGCCTGCCTGAACCTGGACAGATGCGAACTGCTTTCGCCTTGCCCCATGCAAGCTAGGAGGTTGCGGAGCGAATCCCTTGTTGCAGTATTGAAACAGGCATAAAGCAAAAGACACTAGAATTCACTAGAAACATGGGCAAGGCCGTTCAAATTCCTTTGGGAATCCCGCGATGCAGAAACCACGTTCAAAACAAAAGCACAACTAACATCGGCCTGGGTCTGAGGGACACTGCGCGGCCATGCTAAAAGTCAGCATGCATTGGCTGAAGCCATCATGCCCCTGTCCAAACCGTAGTTGACCCCAATCTTCAAACGCAATGAAAGCACGCAAATGTCACACACGACGAAGCGGCGGAAATGTCAGGTGAAACAATTAAACGGCCTCTGATTCAGGGAGGCAACCTAACAGTTGTTTGGTACCGACTTCTATCGTGCTCGGCTTTGCCAATGCCCAGATCACAAGCTCAAAGCACTGACTCTGACAAGACCACAATGCAAATTCACTAGACGATAGAACACCCTTTCGAGCGATCTTGCATGCAAAGTTGTTAGAAAATCCAGCTGAGCCATGAAAGCAAGATGACCGTACACCTCCTGAGGAGAGAACAGGCTTAAAATTCAGGCAGGGTTGCCTCGCTCCACGGATCTGCCCCCATGACCCCAAGCTTTCTGGTCCCTTGCAACAAAGCTGCAATCCGAAAGAACTCCGGCACTTCGTGGCTGGGCTGTTGCACGGCATGGTCTGCCTGCCGCGGAAGGAGCTTTGCAAGTCGCCACCGACATGCTTTCTTCATAAAGCAGAAGTGACCCGGCTCTCCCTGCATCTCCCGAGCCTGGACGCCAAAAAGAATGGCATTGCTCAGAATAAGCACTGCAGCGAATGCTTCTCCTGCAGAACCACAGCACCTTACGGCGAAGTCTGTTGCCATGTCAGACTCGTACATTATTCGGACTCCTCATTACCTCATTGCTTGGCTCCCAAACTTTCTGAACTGAACCTCGGAAACTTAAATAACAAGGCGGTCAAATTCCTGGTGCAGTCAAACTCAACGGCCGCTGATTGCATAAAAGTTGCGTTTTCATGCAGCCATTCAGTTGCTTGGCCAAAGACACGTCCTGCTCTTGGACGTCTTCTGGCATTGAGTTGAGATGCGACCTTGGTCGTAGAGGCGAAATCGCGTTTCTTGACAAAGCGCTGTGCTGATTGCGTCGAAGGCTCATCATGCCCTTGCCTTAGTTTGGGTGGAAGAAACTTTGCAAGATTCAGCAAGGATTCCGAACCTTCTTCTTATATGGTTTATACAAAGAGTTCAGCATGTTGTTTTGCCAGCAGCAGTATTCTGCAGTCGCGGCATGTGCTTCGCTTTCGTTGTACCAGGCCAATTTCGAGACAGCCGGCGGTTGATCCCAGAATAAGGGGCGCTGGCACAAGTCCAAACCCCAGGGCATAGTTGCAATATGAACCCTAAGACCACAGCGTAAACCCTATCCCACACCCCAAGCCCGAAACTTTGAACCACCAACACTTTATCGTTTAGGGTTTAGGGCCATCAACAATCGAAGCCAGAAGTCAGGCAATCTGCTGTTTACACACACACAGAAGAATTTTTAGCAGCAAAGCCCATCGATGTGCGGCGTTTCCTCGTGACGCCTTGAGCGCCGGCCTAAGCCAAGCTGCCTTGAACTCAGTGCATTTTGGACTTTGGGTTCACTGCTTCGACTTCTTATTATAGCCTTCCCTGAAGCCCCAAACCCCGACAAGACACCAAAAGCGGCAAATGAGGCCAGTCTTTGAAGAGCTACTTGTCTTCTCACCAAATCACAGGTAGCCCAAGGAACGGAAGGTCCTCCTAAGGTGGTAACCGTTTGCTGCGGATCGTGTGCCGGAGCCAGAGTGCCTAAAGGTCACGCGGGCGCAAACATATTATCGTTGGTTAAGTTTGGTCAGTGAAATCGGAGACAGATGAAGTTTGGCTGGACATGTTCGGTGGTAGCTAAAGGAATATAATGCCTATCACGTATCCTACAGATATAGCCTTTACGGTTTGTCTGCGTGTTCCCCTGATGGCAGGTCTTGGGAATCTCCTTCACTGTGGTGAGCCTTTCTGGATCTCCGGAGGCATGCGGGAGCACTGCTCTGGCAAGCTATGGCCAGCACGTCAAGCATGTGTTCTCGGCTGCTGAGCAGCAGCTTGCCCATCATCAGGTTCAGGCTCAAGCACAGAAGCCCGAGGAAGATCTGCGGGTCATGGGCAGCCCGTGCAACCGTTGCTCGTAGCAGCGCTGCAAGCGGTTCGCTGATGGAAATGCGACGTCGCACGTCTCGCATACTTCGGCACAAAACACTGCCCCCGACAGCGTGGCAGGATCGAGGCCGAACATGGGAGCGCGTGGCAATAGTTTCTCTGCGGATAGCAGAATGTAGTATCTAAGGGTCCCATCTGCGGGCTCCCCAGCCTATCTCCTTCTCTATACAGACCGTATTGGGCATGATAACATGAGTTGCAGCTTACCGGAGCAACGGTAGCAGCCTGGATGGCCAATGGTGGATCGGATCAAGGGAGCGACGGATGACGACTAGAACAGTAACAACAGTGGGGGGAGCGGCGACGGCTTGCCAAGAGGTGATGCAGGGACCCAGAAGATGCTGACGCCCACACTGGGGCTAGCCAGCAAGACCAGCAAGTGAAACCTGCCAAGAAGCAAGGCCAAGGCACAATCGAAGCGAGACAGGAGCCCTAGCCCTGGCAAGCCTCCTAGCAGCAGCACTGCTGCTGCCGAGAGGTCTGGACTGACCGGCAGCAAGAAAGATCGCCATCTGACTGGCGCAGCTAGCTGCTGAGGAGCATGTGAAGCATGCCAAGGGAGCATTCACTGCCTACCCGAGGCAGTGTCAGATGCTGAACGGCATCAGCGACTCAGTTCAGCTTCATGCCCGTAGTGCGCGGGTTCGCATGGAGACAAGCGACAGATTCGGTACGACATGCCGCCCGTTGTTGCAGCACCTACCCCCCTTGCTTTACCAGGCATAAGATGCTACGCCTACGACGGCCAGGGTGCACGACAAGCTGTTTGATAACAACCTCATGGGAACGGCCAACCTCCTCGCAGTACGACGCAGTGTCTGCGAAGCAAGCAGCAGGAATGTTGCTGGACAACGACGTGTCCTCTATCAGCACGGAGGACCTGGGGAAGGCCTTGCTGCTGCTGGAGTCCTAGGTTTAGGACATGCCATTCACCATGCTGGTGAAGATCACTCAGAGGCTGCTATCAAGAGGATGGACACGCTTGAGGGCTTGCGGGAGATGCCTGCTAAGTTTGCCATCCAGGTGTGCGACTTTATGACCAGTGTCATGCCAGTGGCGCCGACTGCTACCTCGTTCGAGATTACTGCTCTTACTGTGCTTAGCCTCTTGGCCAGGCAGCTAGGCCGTCATACCAGAGAGAGCGACAGCAACCTTTCAGGAAAGAGAGGACGAGGGGGTGAAGCGAAGACTGGGGATGGCGATGAGGTCGTTCAACGATCTTTGCAGGCCCTGTCTTTTTGGTTTCTCGCCGTAGCCTTTGCCGCACGGCTGTAGGAGGGGTTCATTATAATAGAAGGCCGCACTCAAACAGGGCACGGGGGTTGCGGTGCCAGGTGGGTTCTTGGACAGTATCAGCTGGTCATCCCAAGTAAGCGCCGTGGGGAAAATGACAGCCTGCGACTAGCACGATATCTGAACCGAAGCACGAGGCATTTTAGCCAATAGTTAAAGAGATTGGCAGAACAGACAGCGACATTCTCTTGAAGTGGAAAGCCCGATACGCAGAATGCTTTGCTCCGAACACTGATCCATGTCCGCATAAATTTGGAATGCTTTGCTCTATGCTTTTCCAGAATGCTCGCAGAACACTACCTGAGCCGCTTTGTATTATTTTGCCAGTCCGTGTTGTCAGGCTTACAATGTCTTGCAATGCTGGAGCTGCTTGCCCTGCCAGTGGTACGGGCATCTCAAGGTCGACCGCCGGTGCGTGCGGATGATTGTCCTAGATGTCGAGTACCCTAGGGGAGCGAAAGGTTAGCCTTTGGAAGTATTTAGGGTTTGTAATGCCCGACGGTGTTAAAGGTTACTAGGTGAGACTGCCACGAATGCCAAGCACCACATGCATGACCACGGAAGCAGCGTTGGTACAGTGAATATGTCTGTGCGACAAAGGCGAGGCGCTTTTGGTTCCCTTTCTCTGCGATGTGTCATCGGTAAATGTGCTCTCCTGCACCTGGTAGCTGTGGCAGGAGACCGTTGCAGGGTTCTTCATACTGTCACACGTAGCTGAGGCCGACACGGAAGAGACAGAAAACGTGGGCGCGACTTTCGCTTCTACTGCAGCTGGCTCAAGAACCTGCACAAGGCGCAGCCAATCGCTTTCCATATGTGGATCTGGGATGAACTGGGATTGATGCTTCATCTCTACGCGAGCTTCTACGCACCCGACAAAATCATCAGCATGCCATGTGTGAACTGACATGGATTGAAACCGCCGCCTGCGGCGCCGGCTCCTCACTTTGGTGTAGCATAGAACATACCACTCCTGCCACTCTCCTCGGATGTGGGGCATGTGGACTTCGCCGGTTCTGCAACATTCTGCAACACTGAAACTCCATCCCATAATATGTAACCCAAGACAACAGGACAACGCTGCCTCTGTGAAGTGGAGCCTTGTCGTGTGCGCCACAGCGCTCTTCTGTCAAGCGGCTCAGTCTGCTCCGCGAGGAGCTCTTGGATTTGGAGCTCCTGCAAGCATGTCAAGCAGCTGCACAGGTCGCTTGGGGCTTACAAGACTTGTTCAGCTTGTCTGCTGTGACCGCATTCTTGCTCTGCACTGCTTGTCGTGGCCTGTTGCCGGAGAACTGACTGTATCGACTCGAGCAGCTCGGAAGTTGGATCTGGTGGCTGCCTGAGGCATCATGCGTTGTCTCCAAGTCCCGTGTTTGCAAAAACCTGATGGGCCCTAGTTGTCGCAAAAACGAATAATCTATTAGAGTCTAAGCGGAAGTGACCTGGACGGTTGCAGCACGTTCTGCTTCTCGACCTCTTCGGGTCTGCACGGCCTGATCTGCGAATGATTGAAGCCCTGTTGCACACAGCCTCTCTGTCGGCCAATGCTCTCATTGCTCATTTGGGGGTTTCCGAAAATAGGAGGTACCTTATTTTGGGGTCCTTATAATAGGGATCCTACTATTTAGGGTACTATATCAGGGTCCCCTATTTTCGGAAACTCCCATTTAACAGAAGGCTTGACTGCCGCTGTCGAGTTGAGCACCTAGGATCATACACAGCACCCGTTCATTCCCAAACACTGCCCGTTTGCCTCGGCATCCCTCAGCGTAGAGGTCCCACCATTGCAGTGAAGTGACACCGGCTGATTCTAATTTGGGCCACATGTTGAGACGAGGTCTGATTTGCCAACTGCAACTTACAGATCAAGAGGTTCTTGACACAAATACTGCGAACTGACAGCAAGCTGCTCAAAGTTGTGCTGAGCTAAGGGCAGCCGCGATCTCACACTCCGTGGCATCCGTGAAAGGCAACGCCTGACTACTGGTGGTCTTGCAGCAGGTTGATCCATGCTTGCGATGCACTGACAGATCTACTAGCTTGCCGAAGCCAAAGCCAGCACGTCTCAATCGTGTGGAAACACTGTGGTGTAATCGTGTCGAACTTCAGCCATGCAGCTGCGTTCATCGGATCTCGCCACCAATGGTTCCCAGTGGAGAGAGTGACCTGTGCGAAATATCCAAGAAAGGGACCAATCAGGATAATTGTCTAATAATTTCGCAGTCACAGTCTGCCTGTAGGCACGTGATAGGTTAGTCTTTGAATGTCCTGGATGCACGTGCCTGGACGATCTTCTCCTCACCTGTCCATTCCAAACCATTATCCTGGCCGATCGGTATTTTAACAGAGTGAGTCAGAGCTCTCTCTGTCTCTCTGCATTTCTGCTTCAATATGAAAGCTGCCAGCACCCAGAGCTCGTCTAGGGATAGTAGAGGTCAGGTCGAAAGCACGCGAAAAGCAAGTGGAAGTTGCGTGCCGGCAGGACAGCGAAGCGGACAAGCCGCATCCCGCGGTCGCTGTTGCACGAAGCGCACTCTAGTGTGATGAAATCCAGGGGGCTGTTCCTCACGATAAAAATCTTGTCCGTATGTGCTGTGGGACCAACGTGCTGAGTTTCCAGCAGATGCTGGAAATCACCATAGGTGCTGGCAATCGTGAATTGCAGCGTCCTCCAGAAAGGAGGTGCGCATCATGCCGGTTCATGCCTTCTTTTCGGGCATGCCAGCATACGAAGCAAAACGCCAGAGCAGTCCCGCCGTAGGATGCGGCCAGTTCAGGCAAGTAGAACCTGAGGGCTCAGGGTTGAGGCAATTGCCAGTGTCAGAATCGTCAGTGACCCGTGTCGGAACGAGTCGAGCCGGTGCTGGCAAAATTGAATGCTGCAAGCTTAAGGCCCCCAAAAGGAGTTTACGACTTAGCCGAATATTGTTTCGAACACGGATGAGGTCTGTTCTGCACGCATGGGGTCTGAACTCAACGCAGCCGCAATCATCTCGACTACAGATTTAGAACCTGCGCCCGAAGCTTCAAGAGATCAAAGCTGGCAGCCGCCAAGTCTTTGGGCTTCGAGCTTCCCCGGTGGGGCTTCGAAGTACCACTTTGACCTGAAGGCCAGAAGCTGTCAGCTCCCTGCTCAAGAATCAACTTGCTGAGCGCAGCACTTGTCACTGTTGGTATCGAAATCGATGTACTGGACTTCGTCGGTGCCTCTCACGCCGTCTCTCAATTTCCCGCAAACTCTGCAAGTGCGAGTCTATGGCCGTAGAGGTAGCGGTTGAGCATGCCCCATCCGAACGCCTGCATCAAATGCACTGTTCACTCAGGGCCAAGTTCTCTCCACAGAGTTTCAGCCCGCTGCTCGTCGGAAAGCAATGACTAAGGCACTGCTACTCTTTTAAGAGTCGGTTGCCATTTCTCTTTTTGAACTCATGGTTTACCAGATTTTCCAAAGGCCTCTCAGGAACAAATCTGCAGAGCATGGCAGTGACTGTAGACTCGTGTTCGGCCTGCCAGGTTGGCACTGTGGCGTAGATGTTGCCCGAAATAGTCCAGGCCTTTGAGCCAGTCCATGCCAGTCCGCTATGGTAGGGCAGTTAAATGTCCAGGCTTGGCCAAGTGGCGTCCGTGCCACCTACGAAGGTGGAAGCCGCGACTTGCTGCGAGGGGCCTGAGCAAATCCACGAACCAATGCTGGAACGCTGGTACACTCACCGTTGGACTGCTTCACGCTGGAAGGGTTTAAGAAGGATTTGCTTCTACAATGTGTCTCCTTATCTGGCTCGTTAGGAAAACGTCTTCATTCACACCCCACTTAGCTTGCGGCTCTCTGTCTGTAGATAGAAGTGAAGGTGCAAACGCGTGACTCGCCGCGCAACATGCTGCACTTGTGCAGCAGCCTAGCTTTGCGGGTTCCTCCTGTCGAACTGTGGCCCGGAACTTTCTGCTACTCGTCGGGTATCGGACTAGCTCCGAAACAGCGGAACATAGCGGAACTTCTGGCAGTGGATTGGTCGCAGAGATCCAAGTGCAGAACTGCTGAAGGAGACTTGGCCAGGCTGTGATTTGTTTCCGCCAGATGGCTCCTGCCGCTCAGCACGGTTACATTGGTCCTGTGAATGCTCCTCAAGACGTGTTGCCCTATTTCCTGGACTTCGTAGGTCATTGCTGCCCAGCGCCCTTCAGGCGGAAAGACATCGGAAGGTGGAATGTATACCACCCGCCTCAGCCATGCAGTGAGGCGTGACTCTTGATTCATGTTCGAGCCGAATAGATGGTCATCGTTTTCACTTGACACTCGCTGGTCTTGACTATCACTGGCGGATGAAGCTTTCGTTTCAGGTCCAGCTATGTCTTCAGTCGAACTGCCGTCTAGCGAACGCTCGCGTGCGGTCCAAGCTGCCCCAAGGCATCTGTCACTTTAAAGGGCAGCTCGAAGTCCTGCACTCGAAGCGCTTGCTAGACCAGGACGCTTCAAGGACATTACTGTTACAGGTCAAGGTGGCACTTCCTTGATGGATGTCGCGGCATATTTCGGATCTGTCCCATAAGTTCTGTAGTTCTGGGAAGTCTCATACCTGTCAGAAACACGGCTGCAAGCCTAGCGATGTGACGGTTGCAGACAGCTCTCCAACGTACAAGTCTGAATCAGGCAGGTGCAAAGCGCCACTGGATGGCAACGAAGTGATGAGGTATTGGAGATCTCTGCCTCCCTCCTGGTCAATGAAACTCTAGACTCTAGGTCTGGATATCTATGCCAGCGCAGACCCAGTCAAGTGCCTGCAACCCCGTACACTCAGCAACTGTTTTCGCAGGATGTCTGTTTCCGGACGTGTAGTGTCGTCCGCGGTCCTCATACCCACTCAGTTGGCATACAGTTGCCTGGCCTTACAAAATTTGCAGTCACCCGAATGCTTGCACTAGACGCAGAGAGATCAGCAGTCGGGCTCTCTTCTGAGGGCGGCACCTGCAGGAGTGGGGCAGGCCGTGTGTCGAGCAACGGGATTGCTGGCGCCAAGGCAGGGGTTTCTAACAACTCGTCGAGTCACAGGATTTCTGCGATGATTCTTCACCGACAGTTCTCTAGCGTGCTTGGGTTGTTGACATTCCGAAAGAGGCAGCGCAGGGCTCTGGTACTGAACCACAACGACAATTATTCTGGCTTGAGAACGCGTCACTTCCACCGCGACTAGTCTGCTGCTGCATGGACCAGCCACCTTTCTCATATTTTGTCACCGTTTACCACGAAGTTCAAGAAAGAGCTGCCGAGTCTGTCGGACGGGCTTGATTTGGGATCGATTTGCACCCTTGACCCTTGTCATCCGACTTACGATAGATAAAACTCGTCTCTTCAAGTTTCGGCCCGGTTGGCCTCTGCCACGATGCAATCTGAGTGCAAGCTTGTGCCGTATCAATTGGCCCTCCTTTCCGTCGAACAGAAAAGCTTCCTCGGCACTCTCTATCTGTCTGTCTGTCTGTAGCCAGCATCCCGCCTGAGACAATGAAACAGCACACAGACCCATCAGAAAAAGAAGCCTCCACTACATAATTTGACATCCTGCCCGTCCAGCTTCGGGCTGAAGCCTTTTCCCTGGGCCTTGTATACAGAATAGGGAAGATGTTGTCGATATCAGCAAAGCCATCTTGGAAGGCACATGCCTCAGCAAGGGTCATAATTTAACAATACCACGAAGCAGCAGAGAAAGAAACCACCTTTCTTGGGATCCCGCCACGAGCACAAGCTGTAACGCCGCTGCCATAGCAGCTTGTGTGAAACTGCGGAAGTAAGTCGGTTGTTGGATGCATGCTTCTTGCAACAGTATCCTATGTCCGACTTGGGGAAAGGCTGAATTTACTTTCTTGCTGGCCAAATGCTGGCGGTACATTGTACAAACATGACGAGCCGACGGGCCTCTGAGCTTTTGAGCCGCCATTTTCTCAGCCCAGGAGTTCTGAGCTTTCCTGAGATGGAGTCTTGCTCCAAGCACCGAGCATTTCCCACTCCGGTTTTCCCTTTTCCGTGTGCACATCGTGGCGCGATTGTGCGGTCGCGCCGGAAGCAGAAAACAAATGACCACATGCATGGCCCATCTCAGGGTGCGGAATGTGCACCTGCAGCAGCCCGGAAGATAGTTCAACATGCGTGCAACGTGACGCTAATCAAACGGCTGCTAGAGTACGTGGCCACCTTTCGGGCTTGGTCTTAAGCCAAAGCTGCATTGGCCGTCATCGCATGTGAGATAGCAGGAAACTTGCTGCGTGCAGTTGGCAGGCAGGAGAATTGCGCATCGCACCTGTAGGAGCACCTCGTCTGGACAGAAGCCTCCCATCATCATGTCGACGTAAGTGAAGCCAGCTTCTCTGATCTCTTTGACGCCGACACCTGTCACCAAATATACAGTAGCCTTTGCGAAACCTTGGCATTCTAAGCACATCAGGTGGAGTGTCGCAGTTGGACACTTGTTGCTTCTGTTTTTTTCCTCTTGGTGAGGATTCCATCGTCTGCGCCCAGAAGGGGACGAAAGGAGGTGTGGCGACAAGGCGTCGCGACCGGACCGAGTTAGTCGAGCGAGCCCACCAAAACGTTTTTCCCGTCCAGGCCGGATTGGGGATCCGCAAAGGTGGAAGCTCTGAGAGAGGGAGCCTTCGTGCTTTGAATCTAGGATTCCATACATCGAAACCTGGCCTGCGACCTTTTGGCAGGGGCGCAGACTGGCAAGCACGGCTTTTTCAAGCATCGCACGGAAGTGCCCGCATCAGCATCACGACAAACCGAAGAACCGCAGACGCTCGGAGTCATGAATGCAAGCTGCTGCACAAGAAGCTTCAGTGACACATATCATATCGGCTCCCTGACCTTGCCTGCTTTTCGAAGCTCTGCCACACCGGTTCCCATTTCACGCAGTTCCGCGGCTGTTCGCCCAGCACTCAGCAGCTCCTCACTCTCAAAGTCTTCACACACTTCAACAGGAGATGGACAACAAGCGTCGCGCTCTGTCTGTTAGACTCGACAGTAGACGTCATATGGTACGATCGACTCTTCTTCGTCGTGTGGCAAGACGCGTGGCTGCACCAGGCTCTGGACCTACAGCCGGCGCCAGCTGCGCATATCAGTACCGCCGTCCCCGATTAACCCCATCGAGCCAGAGTGCTTGAGGAAGCTACGCTGTTCAAGGTTGTTACTGGACACACACGCACAAGTGTATCACGAAGTGTATCACGGCACAAGCTCAGAGTCAGTGAGAGATCCCGACAAATCCGCCGCCGTTCATGATGCAACGATTAAGCGGGTGCCATGATCGTGTTGATCATTGTCATCGCATCCAGCGAAGGCAGGGCGCCGGATCAGGATGGAGATGAAACGAGTGAGGACGACAGCAACACTGTTGCCACAGCTTTGGACCTGATTGATGGAGTGTAAGCGCATGCCCATGCCCCCGCCCAACGCCAGAAAGACCATCACAGCCATCACACTTCCCCACACTGTCGCGCACATGCACATTTGCATATATGCATGTGCAAGAAGGGTCTGCCTGGCCAGGCTGAGCAGGGGCATTATCTCTAAGGACACAAACCATAATATGACAAAGAATCATGCAACGTTGACTACTGGTCATGGAAGGCTTGATACATTTACGGCGCTGAGTGTCATCGTCGTTGCAAGGCTTATGGTCTGCTGCGTCTTGCTGTTACTCATGTTTGAGTTAGTGTGACGGTCAGGAGTCAGTAGCTGAAGGATGGGCTTCTCTAGACAGTTTCCGAAGCTTGCGGATACACGTCGCACAGTAGCTGCGAAAAAGATGCAACCACCACGAAGCTGTGCTGCAGTGCTCCTGTGCCGTGTAGCCACCTTCTTTCCTCAGCAGATGCTGCCGCTGCATTCTGAAAGTGCTACTGTAACAGAGTTCTCAACTACTATGCGGCAAGCATCAACTCCGCAGAGCTATATCCGCCGGTTAGGAGTTGATGCGCAGGGAACTGGGATTTTCTCATCTGCTCAGCCTTCACAAAGGATTTTGAAACCGACGCTAGAACATGCTACTTTGCACCTGAAGCAGTCGGACCCTGGCGGGAGCCTGGAAGCTCAAGAGCCGCAGCTCGTAGGCAGTGAAGCCAAGTTCCTGCACGGGCGGCTTGTCGACTTCCGCATGCATCTTATCATTTTGAACTACTCTTCCCCGGGAAGCATCTAGTCCATCCGAATCCGACAAGCCCGAAGCCGAAGTGTCAGTGCCGGCGCCCTCACCTTCAGCTCAGCAGGGGAATACCCTGCATCCTTGAGCTCAGGCGCAGTGCAGCCTGAATTCTGACAGCTAAGAGGCAAAGAGAGCTGCAGAAAAAGGCTTGCCGGTGCCACACTGATATCTACCGTCTGCGCAAATATGCCTGAAGCTTGTAGAGCTTTGGCAGAGTATCCCGCTTCTCGTAGTCCTGACAGCAAGGGCAGAAAGCTCTCGGAGTGCGCACACACACACACACACGCACGGGCTGGGGGCCTTTCGTGTCCAGGCCCAGCGCTCGAAGCTCCGAAACGTCGTAGCCCGCGAGGCGCAGGGCGGCGGCGGAGTGGCCGAGCTCGAGTATGGCAGCAGCACTGAATCCTGCCGCCTCACATGATTCGAAGCGAGCTCAAAGGACCACCGCTTTACAGCTCTTGGTCGGTCTCTGCCAAGGTTTTTGCAAGGGCACAGGTATCCTCGAGACGTCAGGCCTTCAGGAGCTTCACTATCGCCGTGGCATCCTCCAAGTCCGTCCCTGCCGTCTCCTGCAGCCAGGACCACTGTACATGGGCACAAGGTGATTCCCCGAATCGCATTGCCTTCTCTGACATCGGAAGCATAGAAGTCTGCATTGCTCTGGGCTCGCTGGCTGCGCTGCCAGCTTGCGTTGTTAACTTCTGCTTCTGCTGCTTTTGCTCTTGATCTCTTACATTTCGTGTCAAGTTCCACGCGCTACTGCCAGGCGTAGATGAAAGGAGGGAGGGTGAAAAGCTAAAAGGCTTGCCTTTTCGGCGCTCTGGATCGACGCAGCACAACACAACCTTGCTCGTTGCATAAGACCGACAGATCCCAGCAGAAGCCGCCGTCCGTGATACAGCATAAACATGTTGCGACCCGTGTCTGTTTTGCAGTTTAGCTTTTGAATCCATGCCAGTGCGTGCGCACTCTTGCTTGGACTCTTTAGGCCATTGACGGGCCATCACTGGCCGCTTAGAAATCGAAGAAACTCATTGGACAGCATCTTGCTTAGCTGCCTATGTTGCGGCAATGCCTGCCATGCTGTGGTGAAAACATATGCAGTGACACGAAACGACTGGGAGAAGACTTTCCACGGGAGTGGGCGAAGAGTTCGAAGGTTAATCTGGAAACCATGCCCCGAAACCACTTTGTCGGCGTGCGCGAAAGCTGCCACTGGTGAACATCCGATCTGCTCAGATGCGCCAACTGCGTTATTGGTCTTCCAGCCCGTGCGTGTCAATGCTGACCCTGGCTTGCCCAACCGCTGCCGCTGCAGCTCTGAAAGAAAGACGTTGACACCCAGCATAAAATCACGGTTCCCTTTGGGACGGATTGTTGACAGGAGTTCAGTCGGCTGCAGCCGGCAGACCCAAAACTCGGCGGGCTACCAGCTCTAAAAGGCGCTTCGGCATTTCTCGCCAAACGCTGCCATGACGCTCAGGCTTCGCCGCTCAGAAGACCACCCAGCAGATCCTGGCAGTGGCGATGGAGGGCAATGGATGGAGTTTCGTCAGCAGATTTCCGGAGACGACCTTGAGGCTCACTGGTGCAAAGCATGATATGTCGGTCAGCATGTGCTGCTTTTTAAATGCGTGTGCATCCGATCCTTCTGCATCTTCTCACCTTTCTTGTCCAACAACTTCTGAACCTGCCAAAGCTGAGGCTCGCGCAAGGCTTGGGCTGACGTTGCACTGGTTATATATGTGCACTGATGGTCACTAAGGTGGTGCAGCAGAACCATCCTGAGAGCCAGTCGGGCCTTGCCCTCGGAGATCTTGAAGATGGCAGCCAGGGTGGTTTGAGCCTTGTCAGCTTGCTCAGCTCTGGCCGTCATCTCCGCCACCTCGAGAAAGGCACTTCAAGGCCCTGCGACGCAGATAGCTCGAGGCTCGCACGGACGGCTGTGCGCCAGATGCATCCTGCGCGAGCCATGCTGAATCTGAAGCCTTGTCTGCTGGAGCGAGGAATAATGCTGCTTCTGCAATTCTATTCTCTTGCTTACGGGATCTAACGGGGAGCACCCCCAAGACGTGTTGGTTATTTTCATCTTGTTCCAGGGTCCACGGGACTCGCCTCTCCGCCAGAAAAGGCTTGCATCATTGCTTTCGTCTGCTGCTGCACACCCTCCATGACACCATCCAAGTACCTGCCAACGACTTGTATGTTGTGACGCACTGCAATTGTCGTATGTCGAGTTGTATGTGCTCTCGAGGGAATGTGCAGTTCAAGCCCTTTGCGCCTGCAGAAGCAGGGAAAGCTGTGAACACAATAATCGGGCCAGGCAAGCACATCGAACATCTGCTCGAGCGTCTTGTATCTCAGCGGGCCATCGTAGACAGGAGTACCTGCGATTTGATTTTGTCAACTTGAATTACCAAAAGGGCGGTGGCTTCTTGCGTTGGAACTCTTCTGAGGCATTTGTCTGTGAGGCTGTGTATGCGTTCATAAATAGAGTCCAAAAGGGTAGACGGACGGATCGTGGTCCTCTCTCGCTGGCTTTTCTGCTTTTCTGGCAATGGTCACAGCACATGAGATGTACCCGGCTCTGGATGCATACCTGTCCTCAAACTCCATGCGCTCGTTCCAGCTTCGGCTCGCTCCGAATGTGATTTGGCAGTGCAAGGGAAGCTTTCGGTGTGTGGTCTCGGCACACAAGTCTTGCAGGCCTCCTACTGAAGGTCTACTGGCATTGTGTGGTGGTCTGTCGACCGTTTGCATGCGGGCGGGTGCGTGCCTTGCCTGTTTTGCAGAAGGCTGTATAAGCCGTATTCAGACAAAGACAAAAGCGTTTCGACAGGTGACACGCATCGTGCCCATGGTCTGGGCATGCAATTGGCACAGCAGATGCGGCATGAAGGCGGTCCGTGCCACGCACTGGGCATGCAAGTGACATGTGGCTATAGGGCCTGGATGACATTCAGAAGTCCCTAGCGTTGAACGATTTGCGCCTCAATGGGGTGATGGTTTCTTCAGGCGCCATGGTTCAACACATGGAACGGCGCTATCAAGCACTTGCGCCGGATTTATCGAGAACAGGTCGGGAATATCAGGCGCAAGTCGGGGGGCTTTTCAGGCACATGGAACATATTTCTCAGACACGATCAACGGATTCCCTAAATCCTATACCCTAAGCCCTAAACAAAACCTACACATGTGAATGATAATTCCCGCGCATGTTCGTGATACTGCACATGCATCTCTTTGATAAATCGCGCACTTGCCTCTGATAGGACAGTCCTTTATTCCCGAACCATGGCGCAATGAACCTTCAATAATATTGAGAGCGACAGCTCCCCATCTCAATGTCTATCCCCTGCGTGCCGGAAGTATGGCACAAACTCCTTATGTATCGAATGTTACGTCCGCTGCTTTTATCGCCGTGCCCACGGAGCCTTCCAGTTTTGTGCCAGCGTGCTACCCCCAACTAACTCGAGAGCCACTCGGCTGGAAGATGCATCCCTCCATCTCGCCCTTGGTGTTCAATGTTCTGTTCAGCCAGTCGGTTGTGAAATCCAGTGGTTCTCGGAACCTCGCATCATTCAACCCCCTTGTTTTAAATCTGAACTCCTTTGCTGTCGGATATTTGGGCCTCGCATGATACCCTCCTTTGTGAGGGATCTTGAGTCAGTGCCTCCACTGCACGCTGTGAACTATAAGCTTCATGGCTCAGGCTTCCTGTCATTCAAACTTCATATTGTGTTGGCTTTAGTGCACAGCTCTCCGTTTGTGTTGGACGTTAGCTCAGGTGCACTCCTCGCCTTGGGATGCTCTGCACAACGGCGCGTCTGTTTGGACACCGTGTTGGTGGATGCTGTGCGCGTCGGATGCGTTGCATAATTTCCCCTTCATGGCGAGTGTTTCGTCTCGTATCCCTGTGCTGCATGTTTCGGCCGACGCCCGCTGGTGTTGGGTGTGAAATGGATCTTTGTTGGGATACTTCACATACAGGGCTTGATCCCTGCTGCACATGCAGACGGCTTCAATTTCAATCTACTGGTGAAGCTGTGCGTGTCTCAAGTCTTGTACTATCATGCGCTTGATTTTATCCTTGCTTGGCCGCACAAGCCATGGGTTCTTCGCTGGTGTACTGGGGTATGACGAAAGTTTGATCCACTCGCGGTTGCGTCGAAGAGAGGCACCCCTTCCCCCATGGAATCCTAACAAGCAGGACCCGTTGGGTACTTCTCCGGAAGGTAAATGTCGTACAGTTTCCAAAACGCGTATAAAACACTCCGCTAGCCAGGCCACGTAATTTGAGCCTCCGGGTATCCCGCTACTCCGCAAGGGGAGTTAAGACAAGAAAGGGCCAGTAAAGAGCCAGTATGCCAAACCATGTCAACAGTTTTGTTCTGCCGATGTAGTCTCGTGGTGCAACCTCCGGTACCTATACTGAGGTAGGCAACTCCCTGCAGATATGTCCGTACCTGCCTGTACGTGCCTATACATGCATAGGTCGCATGTGCGAGTGGACGCATCCCATGCTTCCGGCCTACTTCCACATCCGGCGCGACGCTGCTGGCGAGGCTTTGGGAGCTTTCGCTAAGTAGCACCTGCAGGCTCGTAGGCTGGTAGATGCTGACAGGCTGATGCCAGATTGGTCTTGGAATCACCGTGAGATTGAGGTCGCCTTCGGAGCTAAGCTGAGATCCGTGCAATTTGATCCAATGCTTCCCGCTTCTCTTTGGGATCCTCCACGCATATCCGACGCTTGTCTTAATCCAGAGGCTGCGACACGTGCAGTCGTCAGCTTCATGAGATGAGTCGGAGAGTGTGAAAGCCCAAGGGTTCCTTGATATCTGCAGCCCTCTCGACCAGCTCTCGGATCATGGACTTTGCCACGCTGACAGCGCCCTGGGATGCTTTCGCAAACTATCCGGCTTGCAGCAACCTCACCAAAACTGTGGCGTGAGGGAAGCCGCCTCTGCCGCAAGCTTCGGCTTGAGCTTCTCAGCCTCAGACTTCACCTGGTGTTGCCACTATCTCACGGAGTAGCAAGGGGAGATGAACACCATTTCTGCACGGTTCGGCTTACAAGAATCCAACGTGCAGCCAAGATGCAGCGGCATGTAGCAAAAGCGATCGCGTAGCAACAGGCACCTAGTCTCAGGACATGCAGATGGCATTCTCTCTTCCTTGAGATCTTATCGACACCGTCCAAATGGGATGCCTTCCATGCTAGCCGATGGCTGATGATTCGTTTGATGGACTTTTTCTACCTCGTCGCCTGCCACTGATGCAGATGCGAAGCGAATGCAAAGAGGCAGCTCGTGCAAAGCAGAGTTGCAACTTGGTCTCAAATGTTCCGCAATTCCGCAATTAAAATCTTGGACCGCTCCCCGAGCAATCACGACACAAAAGCAGCTCCAAGCTATGAGTAATAGCTGTCATTTAAACCTTCACTATCTCAGGATTGTAGGGAAGCACTGTTGTTGTCATGTTGCTGTCACTTGTGGTCCTGGACTCGATACACGAATACAAGGTCCGTGTCAAAGAAACATGCTGGCATTGGCAAGGCCCTGGCGTTTTGTGTCCCACAGCACGAAAGAAGACATGCTGGAAATGCCAAAGCACTTCTCCGCTCTGATCCTACATCGTCCTAGTTACCTTCATGCCTGAAACTTGCCATAGAAGCTACTTCACAATGCTCCGCGAGACCAGACACCGCTGTGTTTCCAAGTCTTGTGCTGGTCGGTCTCAGCCGGCATGTGTGCTTTGAGAAAGTCGGGTGTGCATGGAACAGCAGTCTAAGTCACTATAAGTCTTAAACCTTAAAAAGTTGCGCAGGAACAGAGGTCAGTTGTGAGCTCAAAAGACCGAATCAGGATCATGCTTAGTTTCCAATACTCGTGACTTGTTCACCCAAGTTCTTTTGAGTCTCATTCAACTGCACCTCTAGCAAGCAACTGTCAATATTATGGCAGCAGTGCCATGTGCGCAAGGATTCAAACAGGATCTATAGCAGTCAGGAGTTATGCGCCCGCCCGCCCAAGATCCGCTGGCTCTGTGCAGAATCGAATGAAGTCGCAAGGAGGGATTTCTGAATCAAAGTCCAAGAACGTGTTCTTGACATGAATAGGAAAGGCCAAGTCCTTGGGAAGCACGGGGTAGACATCAACGGCTTCCGCACACGTGATCTGGCCATCCGCTCGCAGTACGACCTTGAAGGGATGACTCGACAGGGATTCTGGCAGTGGAGAACCGCACTCTTTGTCGTTCGGAATCTGACAATATCGGGCCGTCTTTGTCTCAGCTTTCTTCTCCTCAGGGTTCCGAAGCCACTAGAATTGCTTAGCTTCCGATGGGCAGACCTAGGGCCTTTGGGACGTGCTTGAAGCGCCCGTGATACTTTATGATTTTAGCCTGCTTTGCCTAGGTTACCCAATAGCTCCTTATTAACAAGGGTACCCTTTTTCCCACTCTTCTTAAGAAGGAGACCCCCAACATAAAGAGGACGAAAGGGTACTGCCTTTCTCCCCTTGCCCGCCTCCGAGACAGGAGTCGGAGGGCTCTGAGGGCTCTTTGGACGTGTCTGTCGTTTGCCCATGAGCCTCTGCAGCACCGGGATCAATGCGTCCATCGGAGCCAAGGGCTCCTTGACACCTTGGCCTTGCGGTGCTTCCAACTCCAAACCCATGGGATCCCAAAGCAGCGGCTCTACCACAGCAGCGGGTGCAGCGGCCAGCGGCTTCTTCTGCTCCCCTTTCGGTCCGCGCAGCTGTGCTTCCCCGTGAGCGTACTTGCACTTGCTCCCACTCTTGCAAGAACCCTTCCGCATGAAGTCGTGGCACAGGCTGGTGCGGGTCAGATCTGGTTTGGGCCTGATCTGAGTCATGTCGTGGGCAAACTTGCACTCCTTTCCCCTTAGGCACTTGCCCATGGCAAAGAACGAGCACAATGCCGTGCGCTCGAGGTTGGCCGAGAGCTCCTGCTTGCCGGCGTTCAGGAGGTTCTTCTCCAAACTGATGCGTTTCCCCACCATGGCACCAAGGATTCTTCTACGGCGCCACCTAGCTACCCAAACTCTAAGCTAAACAGTCGAAACAAAAACGGCTAGCAGCTCGCCATGGCTTGTCAATGCAAGGCGTGGAAGAGCGGCTTCATGCTCCGACGTCCAAGTCCCGAACAGACGCAGGAACCACCTCGGCCGCTCAGCCGGCCGTTGCAGTGCAAGCATTGAACTCTCCTTTACGGGTCCTGTCTGTTTCGCTGGCCTTGAGATCTCTACCTTTCGTAAACTGCCAACATGGTTCCTGGCCAGGTCACCTTCAGGCCCTCGGTACCATCGAAGACGCCACTTGGTGCATCGACGCCTTGGCTTGCCAGATCATGCTAGATTCTAGATGCTTTGAGCATGGACCTGTCCGAACTTCCTGGCCAAAGCAGGACAACGCCGAAGCAGGGTGCATCAGTGCATGATGATCCTACTGGCGATGGCAAGGGTGACCAGCCGCACAAACAAAGTCGTGAATTACACAAATCGAAACTTGTCAAACCGAAATTTCCCGACAATGAAAATGAAGGCCTGAGGCGTCGACATAGCTCGCTGGCGACCGCACGAAGAAAAACATGAGGCACCCTGTCAAGGCAGGACAGTGAGACAGATGCGAATGCGACTGGTCACGGTGAAGCTTTTTCCACGATCTGCTCCGCCAACCATTTGATTCAGTGGGAAGTCGAGGTTAGGGCATCTGAGCAGCCAGCTCACCATCACTGGAGTCCTTCTCCTGCAGAAGCTCTGCCAAGAGTGGTGCCTGGCAGGGGCGGCAAACTGCAGGTGCTTCGTTTGCTCTAGAACTATCATCGTGTCACTGCACCGAAAGTATGCAGATCCCGTGTCCTGCGCCGACTTGCTCCTGCACACTTCTACTCGGATCGAGTGACACGAAGGATCCATGACATGCGGCCCCGGGCAGGAGACCGATTGGAAGATTCAAGTGTCCTGTTCAGCAGCCAGCCGAAGCCTTTCTTCTCTTTCGCCTTTTTGCAGAGGGGAGGTGACTTGTCAAACCCATCGGTTCAGTATGATGGATTTCTAGGTGCCTCGGTTTTCTTTGAGTCAGAAGATGATGCAGACGCAGGAGCATCCGAAGCAGATGTCTCGGTTTGAGACTCAGCTGGTGTGGGCTCGTCTTCGGCTGCTGGCGGTGGCGGCACTGCTGGCGGTGGCGGTGCTGCTGCTGGCGGTGGCGGTGCTGCTGCTGGCGGTGGCGGTGCTGCTGGCGGTGGAGTTTTGGTTGCTGTCGGTGGTGTTTTGGCAGCTGGTGGGGGCGCAGCGGGTGGGATTGGTGCAGTTGTGGGCGGTGGCGCTGCCGGGGGTGTTGCTGACGGCGGAGGTGTAGATACTGGTGTAGGTGCTTTGGCTGCCGGCGCAACTGTTTCCGCTTTCAGCTCCTTGACCGGCACATGTCATCGAAAAGCGACACTTCCATTCCGCGGCTAACGAGCACCGTCATCTCGGGCTCTAGCATCGGTTGGCGGAGTCGCAGGTGCCTGGTTACCAGCGGTTTGACTGCACGAGGAAGGAAACAGTCAACAGCTGGCAGGAATGACGCATGCGAGCTATCGGAGTCTTGGATGGCGGCTGCAGTCCTACAGCTGAAAGCAACCTGCCCCGTGACGCCCTGCGTGGCATCGGTCCGGCCTTTGTAGGCATCGGGGCGGTTGGTAATTTTGGAGGCGCCGGAGGCCTCAGTCCGACCAAAGGTGGTGACAGAAGTCTCTGAGGAAGGACCAGGGCTGTCACAACGGCGCTGCAGCCTTTGGCATGCTGCTGGAAGGAGCAGCAGCAGCAGTAGGAGCGCCGGCACCTCTAACTGCAATCTTGAAGGCCATCATTCTGCACATGAGATAGTAAAGCTCATGACGCGGTAATTCGGGCAGGCGCAGTCTTCGGGGGCCGACTATCTGTTCGGACTTTGACGACGACGACGACGAGTGAAAGTCAACGCTACGGGCAGAAATGTGCAAACCCAGGAAAACCTGACGCCCATCGCCTCAACATTGCGGAGCATGCTGTGCGTGGATTAGTGTGCCAAGTGCCAGGCTCTTCTCCAACTGGAAATACATCTCTGCGACCGACCTTTGCTGCGCATAACTCAGCTGCAGAGACCGCCGAAGAGGGCCCCAGGCATCTTCGTCGTGGTTGACCGCTTCCGGAGCTTCTTCCATGACCAGCGCGCGGCGAGGGCCAGCCCAGCCTTGTTCATGAGAGGCACCCAGAGAAACGCTCCTCCTCCTCTTCCTACCACTGCTTCGGCTCCTGCTGCTCCTGCTGCTACTGCTGCTGCTACTACTGCTACGACTACGACGACTACTACGACTGCGACTGCGACTACGACGACTACGACGATGACGGCGACGACGACGATGACGACGACGACGGCGACTACCACTGCCACTACGACTACCACTACCACTACCACTACCACTACTACCACTACTACTACTACTACTACTACTACTACTACTACAACTACAGAGCTTTGAGTCTTGAGGACGTGGCCAGAAAGGCAATCGTGGCCCAAGTTGCCGGTCTCGCCCAAACTGGCGGAGGCGGCGGCGGCGCCTCGCTGGAATAAGCTTGACCAACTAACATACAGTCTCAACTCTGAAGACTTACTTGCAACTCAAACGCGAACCCTGAACCTACTGAGAGCCTTGATCTTCCTAGTAGGACTTTTTTGCTAAACATGCACAGTGTAAAGATGTAGCAGAGCTTCACCTTGATCGGTTTAGAAAGGTTTAGGGTATGTTCTGGGTGACGGTGGGCGGCTCTGGGGTCTGGGCACGTTGTGTTTGCTCAGCGTTTGTTTGTCGAGAAATTCGGGTGTGCACTCAAAGCTTGTGCAGAAACAGGGCACTGGAGCTGTCAAGGATTTCACGAATGGGACTGGGAACGGTACATGTTTTGTAGGGTGTTCTTCCAGGGAAGGAGCCGTTTAGGAATCTTGTCAATTTGAAGCGGGTTGTACCTGGGCGCAGCAGGCGAGATTTGGGTGCGGAGACACGACCAGCACACGCAGTCCAAAGCCGGTGAACAACTGTGATTTGGGGCCGATGTCGGGTTGAAGAGCTGAGAGCTGGCGAGACGGGAGCTGGCTTGAAGCTGGTGTTTAGGTGGGGACACTGTGAGCTTAGATGGCAAAACCCGAGAAAGTCAAAACAAGATCCTGTAGCTTAGAACTCCACATGGCTTAGCAAGATCTGAGGACCTGTCTGTAGCCTCTGCGGGAAAAAGGCCTACGATGCGCCACTTTACACCGCGTCTGCTAGCATCTTCGGACTCGTTGGATCACTCCGATTGTCCCACCCACAAGCAAGCTCAAGACTACGTAGCGCAAGCCCTGATGGTTGCCAGTCGCCACTGCCCCAACAACAGCAACAACATAAAAGAGAACAGCTGGCACGCCGCAGCCGCGACGCCAGTAGTAGTAGCAGTAGTAGTA